TCAGGCTACAAGGGTGACACGGTAATTCAAGCTGTAGTGGTTGTTTAGTTTTAGATTGAGAAGATAATTATATCAAACACTGTGACAATATTTTACCACATTTTCATTTTTGGTGGACTTCGTATAAGTTATTCTATTGTTGTAATGTTTGGAGCAACACCACTGAGGATAACCTGAATAGGATTCAAACTGTGCAGAATTTTGCGGCCGCATCATCAGTAACACAGGGAAGTACGGCCATGTCTCCCCCATTCTTAAACATCCAGAGTGATTACCAGTGAGACTCACTGTCTGTCTGTCTTTCTGTCTGTCTGTCTGTCTTATTAAGCATCTACAGAACTGTTAAAATTTGGAATTCCTTAGACTCTGCGTTAAAGTTAAATCCCTCACGAAAGGACTTCAAACATTGTTTAAGAAAACATTTAATCTCCAAATCTCTAGAATCTTGAACTCACTGATGTATTTCGTTTATATATATCTTTTTATTTATCTTTTTTTATTTAGTGCTCATTGCACTGTAATGATCACGCTATCACTTCTGGAACCCATCTATTTGCACCTTGTGACAAAGTGTTATGGGGATGAAAGTGATGTTTGGATGTAATATATCAAACACGAGAGAGTGTTTCATCGGGATATCCAAACACCGAGAAGAGAGTTGAAAATACAACGCGCAGCGGAGTATTTTTGACGAGATTCGAGGTGTCTTGATAGCCGATGAAACACTGTCGCGAGTGTTTGATATATCTTCTCAGTCAAAACAAAAACTAAGGAGTAATCGAGGAAGTAAAATCGTCAAAATCTATGCTAATTAAGACCGGGTATCCAAACTTCCTTCACCGTTGTGATTTCTTTGTTTAAACTTGATAAATTATTAATGAGTTTGAGAGGTGCGAGAGAAAGCACTCAGTCGTAACTTATCACTGGCTCAGGATTTGACTAACAATTCAGCAACAAAAAATCTAAGAAAATTCTTTGTTTTCAACTTTTCAGATCGACTTGCAAACTGCATTATCTACAAACCTCAGTTTAAACTGAGAGCTGCTTTTAATCTCCGGCACCCATTTATCAAGTAAATAAAATGACTAGTTATATTTGTTGAAATTCAACAAATATCTTTATGTTTCATGACTAAACTTCAAGTTCTTTCTCAGGGAATTGAGCAATTTTGTTGAACAGCAATTTTGCAAGCACACTTTTGCACCACACAAATTCCCGCATTTTTTCTCCCGAGTAAAAGTTACTTGTTTTCTACTTTTTCTAGGAGAGAAATGAGGTAAAAAAATTGTCATGACCAAATCGCAGCGCAATCTGGAAGAAAAATACGGTAAGACTTTAAAAAGAGCTGCAGAGAACATTATTATCTATACATTTTGTGGGTAATTCCTGTCGAGGCTTGCAGTTAAATTTACAACTGGAGAAGAAAAACGCGATTGTTACCAAAACATATGATCAGTAAGATCTCGCGGCAGCGTTAGCTGATATCGTAAGGGCGCTCGCGCAAAGATCATATATTATTCATTCATTAATTATTTATTTATTTCAGGTTTGTTCTGCTGATGTTCCTAGCGATGTTTTACTATCCATTCCCTGGTTTTGTTTATATCAGTACGAAATATTTATTTACATAATTATCAAGTTAATCAGCAAGAGACGCCTGTTTTTTAACAAACGTGAACAAAATTGTATCAGAAGTTTAGGGTTGAGCTGCAAAGATGACACCACGAAGTGTTCTTTTGAGATCTTTTTCGGTCCACAATTGTTCACGGTAGTACATTTCATCAACCAATGCCCAATATTGGCTGATTAAGGTTGCCATTGGCTACACGTGCTCGTTCTTCAATCGGTCAGTGTTCAGATGATCCGTGTTGTGTTTGAGTGATAAACGCATATACCGTAAAAGCTCTGATATTCTGAACATCGATCTGCTCTAATACATCTCACTCTCTCGTTCACTCTACTGCTATTCTCTACTCCCTTGTCAACACTTTTTCGTATTCTTCTTCTCTCTATTTTTCCCTAGAAGGCCCCAGTTGAACCCCTCCCCCCAGATTAATCCCCATTAAGTTTCCTCTCTTCTTTTTATTTTAATTCTTCTTCTTTTAATTTGCTTTTTAATTCTCTATTAAGTCTTTCTTTCTCTCTCTGTTAACACTTTTTAAGCAAACCTATGCTGCTAACTTTTTTTTTTACAACCTAATCACTGAGAAGTTATCAACTTTAAAAAGTCTCCTAGGGCTAAACAGAGCTTTTGTGGTGTTCTAGTTCTTTTCGTTCCGAAGACATTTTGTTGTAAGTTTCTTCGAAAAAAATGTTTTACAATTTTTTCCAACAGTAACTGTGACTGAATCGCGACGTCAAACGTTGCCAAAGGAAGAACTGGTAGGGTACTAGCAACCTTAATTATACAGCTTTTTACGTGGACAAAAAAGTGGTAAGAAATGTGTCTCACATGTCATCTTAAAGGTTTATAATCGATGTACATGTACTCAGCTGTAAGCTTTCTTCTACCAAAAATAATTGCCTTAATGAATTTTAAAAGCACCGTATCTTATATAATAGAAACAAACTGGAGGAAAATTTATGATGGGTAGATTAAAGAGTTTCAGATTCCTTTCTTGTGTACGTTTAGTGTTGTTTTTATTTAATCAAGGCAATGAAATTAATCATTCCCTCCGAGAGTTATCTCATGGTTATATTCTCGACAATCTCAACAAGATCTCGGCTTGCCACTCACGGCGAGATGTAGGCAATTTCAGATAGATCTCGCCGAGATTCTGACAAATCTCGGCGAAATGCTAACATCGTGGAGAGATCTCAGCAGTCTCGGCGAGACTTCAACGAGATTCCTCCCATTCTTGCTTCTCACTGTATTTGTAAATATCGGCCTTTCGCCCTTGGTCCTTTGCCCTGCCCTAGGGAGGTGATAAGCGCCAGTCACCCATGCACTTATCAACCTTTCCCAACCTTAATAACCATTTCCAATAGGCTTTAACTTAAAATATTTGGATAACAGAAGAGCCGACGCTACTAAATTTTACCCAACTACATGCATTGGTGCCACAGATATCATCACTCGTGTTTTCGGGCGTGTGTAGTGATGGCGATAGGCGGTTTCTTTTGATTTCGGCCAAAAATTTTCGCGAGGCAGAATTATAGTCCTTGATTTTCTCCTATCTCTGAAATTCAATCCCAATTAACTGCAAGGCGCTACGTCAACTTACAAAAGTGACCTGAGGGAAGCTAGGAAGGCAGGGTGATAGACTTTCTTTAGTAAGAATAAACTGCCTGTGTTGTACATTAATAACGAAGTCCTATTTGTTTTTCTCTTCCTCATCAAGACAAGAACATTTGCAATGGCTATTTTGGACTTCTTAGAATCAACAGCTACCAGTAGGCAGTAGGCAGTCTTTAGCTTCTTTGAAAGCATCAGAAACAGACCAAATCAGAGCTAAGATAAAACTTATAAGCGTGGGGTCTTGGAAAAATCTTTTTTGACTCTAGTTACAGTTATTATGTTAATAATTTTACGATGGTGTAATGTTGCATAATGTTCTTGTGGTAGGTGCTGTGCTAAGTTTTTTTTTTCTTTTTCAGACAAGCAACCTCTAGAGCATGACAAGTTAATTTAGACTGGGTTATCGGAGTTTCAAGGAAAATACTGACAACGCTTTCCTTCAGTGATTGTGAGATGGTTTTATTTTTTTCGTTTTTTTTTTTCTTTTTTCCGCGATCCGGAAAAAGCAAAGTTCCCGGTATCGCGCATCATACTTGGCAAAAAATTCGCTCTGAGTCAAAGGAAAAACTCTACTACCCTACCTGTTTCAGTAACAACATCCATTACGACAAAGTTGATTAGTATAATCCTGGTGAAACAAGGCTCGGAACTTGAACTTAAAAAACTTTCACAAATTTCAGCTTTATGGGTTATACTAAAAAGTGTAAACCCATGAAAAGGGAAAGAACGGCGCAACACGAATTGAATAATAGAACAACAAAACTTATAATACTGGCAGGTCTTATTTGTATCACCAAACATCCTTCGGTTACGTGTAAATATGTTCCTAGAGATTTAATTTTAAATAACCGAATTGAGAAAGGGCATGTATTTGTCGGTAAACTCCTGGAGCAGTTTTGATATGCTTTTACAAATTTACATCGTTAGCATTAAATGCTCGGTAGTATAGTGGTGAGTATCCCCGCCTGTCACGCGGGAGACCGGGGTTCGATTCCCCGCCGAGGAGGAGAATATCTTTTTTTTTTTCTTGTTTTTTGTTTGTTTGTTTGTTTTTTGTTTTGTTTTTTTTTTATCGGTAGGCAATATGATGTAAAAATTATTATTCGCCCAGCTTGTATATAAACCTGTTTATGCAAAAAAGACCTTTCTAGTTGAATTTTGGGATGTGACGTCTTTTGAAATGTACTGTATGAGTAAATCTACGCGACATAAATCAACATCAATGTAACAAATTAACGCCAGTTTTTCATGCGTCTCTCCTGCTACTCATGACAACGTCATAACATTGTCAACGTAGCTGCTGTGATCCACGAGGCTTTGACGGGCCGAGCCGCAGGCGAGGTTCACCAGCGGACCATACCCCCTGCTTCGTTGATATTTTTTGCTCTCACTTCAATTTGCACGCGGCCAGAATGCGGAAAAAGTTTTTGGTGTGGAACACTTGCTATGCAGGCTAATACCATACAGGAAAGTTTTCATTGTCACGAATCACGCCCACTCTTCTTTCTGACCGTACCCCTTTAACTCAGAATTGGTCTTTCTGAGCCATTACAATAAGCTTATTCGGCCTTCTTTTTGGAAACAGGTCATCCACGGACAATGAAAAGTCAAGAAAGGCAAAATAACGAAATTTCGTGACAAATTTTTCGTGACAGCAACATTAGCAGACTTAGCACATTTTAAACCTGGGAATTTTTGGTCAATTTATATGAAGGAGTCGATGATCGCCGCCGGCCGGTTTGTGCAGTGCAGGCGCGTACAGCTCGAACGTGGCAAAAACTCGATAATATATTTTGTGTTACGTCCTTATTTATGTGAAGGTTACATGCGATAAAGAACTCTTCAACAACCAGGAAGATGATGGACGATGAGGAAGCTTTGAAAGAGAGTGTCTCCAACCTCAGATCGGCCATACTTCTTGGTCGAACAGACATCATTCGAAGCATTCTCTCGACAGCTGCGGAATGTAAGCTGAGGAAATTGCTCTTTTTTATTCCATCCACGGCCTAGTAATTTTGAAATCAAGTGTTTTGTATTTTGCTGCAGCCAACATTCGACTGAAAATTCTTAAAACGGAGTATATTCTTTCAAGACTCTCAGGGTTTACTCTTTTGTACGTAATATGTACTAGATGTTGGCAGCTGTCAGCCACACACAAAAGAAAGCTTCGGAGTCTGTATATGTAAACTTAACTTAAATTGTTCTGATTTTTTTTGCGTGAATTATGAAGTTAAACGTAGAGAGCAAACTGAAAAGTGTGACAATATTTGTTTTTCTTAGTATCCCTGATTATGAACTTTACCCGAGTTTTCTTTACACGATAGTTGTTGTGTAATTCAAGCTTTTTTGAAAGCGTTTCATGTGTGTCCAGAACTGGGGTCTGAATATTTACAGAGTATGAAAAGGTTAATGTACAATCAATAATTAAAAATTATTTTCCTGGTTCAAAGTGGCAAATCTGAAGACACTCAAAAGAATTGGTAGAGGGGTGCAGTGGGGCAACGTTTGCTACAAATATGGAGGGGAGAGGCTGAAAGTTTTTTTAAACCCTTCAGGTCTACATTATGTTTTCAACAAAAAGGAGGTTTGGGCTCCTTTAGATCCAACTCAGATTCATATGCATGTTTAGGTATGATGTGCACATGTTTTATTTTACAATGCTTGAATGTTTTGTATTTTTTTTAATAGACAGGGAAGAAGATGGCCTATTTGGTGATGATGAGGAAGAAGAGGCTCAGCTAGGTGTTCCGAAGCAGTTTTATTATGATGAGTATGACGATCCTTATGATATTCTGAAAATGATGATGAACTATGTCGATAATGATGCGGGCACATGTCTTCATCTTGCAACCAAGGTAAGTCTCATTTTCTCAACTCAGGTACTGTAGAAATAATTTGTTTAAGTCATGGTACATGTACATATGAAGTTCATTTTTACTGATTTGCTAAGTACATTATTGGACATGTATTTTGTGGTTTAAGTTTTTCTTTGGTTCCAAATTTTTCAACCAGTTGGCTTATAAAATTATTTTGGTTTTTACAGCTTGATATTTATCATCATAATCTGAAAAAATTATTTCAAACCAGGATTAACTTTGAATCACAGAATGTAATCTGTACACTTTCACAAAAATCTGCTTGACTGTGGAAATTGACAAGTCCAGGCAAAGATTACCTTGAAAAGTCAAAGTCAGACAAAAGGTGCATTTCTTTGGGAAAATCCAAGACCAAAAGCAGATTTTATATTTCTTAACTAAACAGATTAATTCAAAATCACTCTGATCATATTGCATCAAAGGAACTAAAGAATCCAAGGATTCTTTGGTTCCTTTGATGCCCCATGATCTGAGTGATCTTGGATTAATTTGTTTAGTAAAGAAATGCAAAAGTGATCCATTTTTGTATTCAAGAATCCAATCTTGGATTTTCCCTTATGCCTGATTCACACTAGCAACACAATGACTTGATGATATAACAACATACATACTTACACTTTATCAACCAGTTGAAATTTTGTTAGCCTAGAGGAAACACCTCCTGCTGTTACTAATTATGTCGGTAATGTGAACATCGATATAAAGACATAAGGAAATTAATATCACTGTTTGTTTTTTCTGTATGTCATTATGTTCATGCTGTTATATTGCAATTATGCCATTATATCATTATGTCAGGATGTTCACACCGCTTTTAACACATAATGACATAACAGCCCTCTTATGTTTATTTCCCTATTTCACTAAGTGTGAACTAGGCTTAAGAAACATGCCCATAGTGGACCCCATGTTATGACCAACTCAATAATATTTAAGCCACCTTTGTTGGCCTGAAAAAATGCTTGTCACTCATTTTCTTTATTAAAGAACCCTTTAAATACAATATTATAATTGCCACTTATACAATTATGTTATGGCCCAAAAGAGGTCTTATTAACAGGGTTTCCATTGTGTATTGTTTTGTGTCAAATGTTATAAAAAAAAAACACAGAGAGTTCTAGTTGAGGAATGAATGCAAGAACACTAAGGGGGACAAATATCAGTTCTAAATAATAGAATAAACTCACACCATGTCAAAGGAGTAGATTACATGAATTCTCAAACACTCTAATCTTATTAAAATCAAACTTTGTCAATAAATGCTTATCACTAACTAAAGCTAATTCATCTTTGCTTGCTGTAGCTTGGTTATACAGATGCAGTACGTGCTCTGTTAGCAGCCGGATCTGATCCAACCATTCCTAATAGTGAAGGAGCCACAGCGTTTGATTACTGTACAGAGAAGGCAATCCTAGGAGTTTATAATGAGGAACTACTGCAAGCTGCTGCTAACTCAAAGTAAGTGACAATGTTGCTTTTAGAAATAACAGTTATAGTTTATTATTATTAACAATGACTATCAATATTATAAGTAGAGATGATGGAAGAAACCAGCTGCGGTTAGCTCCGACCAGTTGCAATCGAATGACAGAAGTGATGCAGAGCTAGCTCATGGATCATGCTAGTCCAGCATTGGTTATCACCTGCCCTCCCTCAATTCTTCGCCAGCATTTTTGTGAGGTGTTGACAAAACATGTCCTTTTGCATAGTAGCACTTCAAAATTCAATTGTTTTTGCCAACAATGTAAGGCAAGGGAAATAGCTGGAGTGTTTTGAACTGAAGAATTGAAGGAATTGAACCTTCAAGCCAATTTTTGACACTCATGTTAAACAGTCATGGTCTTGAAAGTGCAATTTTGTTTAGTAAGTTAACATGTTACAGGTGATATTTAATAAGATAATTTCTGCAGTATACTATGATGATACTATTTTTGCCATTGAATAAATGTCAATGATGCAGCCTGGAATTACTACATACGCTGTATGTTGTAAGTTCCATTTCACTCGCAAGTTACATGAAATCAACGTACATGTTATTTTGCATAATCTTCAGTGTACCCAGGGTGCGTAAGTTGTTGAAGGCAGGAGTCAGTGTGAATGCTGGTGATGGCGCAGCGAGTGATAACAAAGCACTTCATTGGGCTGCTAGCTATGGGAATGCTGACATTGTTAAGCTTCTTTGTGGTAAGAATTAAAGTGGAGTTTTATAGTGTTCTTTCAGAATTGTCAACTCTTTGATTCTCCTATCAATTGTCTTTGAAAAACTGATACAGTTCTACCCCCCCCCCCCCCCCCCCCCTCCCCCATCCCAGCCCAATCTCCCTGGAAATTCCAGTTTTTGTTTGATACTTGCCTTTAAAGATTTTGTCTTTTCAGGCTCTCCCCTTTGGAATTTCCAAAACCCTCCCTGGGGTGGGTATGGATATAATTATTCTGGAACCACGCATTATTACTGTCACAGTGACTGTGTTCCGAATTGGACTGAAGAGGATCATAGTCATTTTGTATTGAAGATTGATAAAACTCCAAGGCTTATGTTATGCACCATTCAATCACTATCCTGGTTAAAATCTTACATACATGTACAGTGTAAGATCCTAGCTGTAAGATCACACAGGATCTGACCCAAGAT